TACTAGTAGCGATGCACTTGTTTCTAGTAGCTTCTTGTTACTACTAGCGTGGCACTTGTTACTACTAAGAACATGAATCGCAGGCTATGACCAAACAAATTGGAACATACCACAGTATATCACTTATAGATCTTGTTCGGGGGTTCCATGTGTATCGTCCAAACTTTTGCGAGAAGAACAGGAATGTTCCATTGGTATCCATTGGTGACCAAGCACCGTCTCAGTAGACTGGGCACACTGGGCACCGTTGCTATCCGTTGCTCTCACTGGTGAAATCAGCAGAAATCAGTGCTCTTTTCAGGGTGCATCAGTTTCCTCAGTGCAACCGGAATCCCAGCGCTCTTCAGAACTCTTAGACCCTGCAAAACAGGTTTGACAACAGGTCCGTCCGATCATCGCGATAAGGGAAGATCTGAATCGCAGGACATCCCGGCCTACAGTGCCCAACCGATTCCAGAATATGGGTGAAGAGTGTCTTCATATCACACACACTGTTAAACCGATATAGCTTGTTTGGTGAGTCCTATTGCCAATCCGAACCCTATGCAGCAGGCCTTCTTCGGTCGAAAGCGGGTGTAGGACCTGTCACGGAAGGTGGAACTCACATAGCATCCATGGAAAACCATTCTGCCAACTGGAGATTCACTGTGGGCCAGAACCAAATCCAATCCTCCTCCACAACTATATTATAATATATAATGTTATTTTTTAGTGTCAAACACATTCAACAATTAAAGAAAAAAAACATTGTTAAGCATTTTGCTGGAGACCTAAAGGTCTAGAGGAAGCTTCCAAAATCCTTGGATGTCCGATTACCCAAGTGAGACATGTTGATGCTCTCATGTTGGAGAGATCGTCTGACTATCCGTGGCCTTTCTTGGACGATCTCACGGGGTCACATCCTGCCTCACCGGCAGAGTCGGGATCAACGAGGTGACCTTCTCTTCCCGGGACTTCTGCGGTGACAGGAAGGCCGACCTCCGTGCTGGCCGGCCGCGCGCGGTGAGGGACTGGCCCAGCAGCAACACGGATGACCAACCATGCGAATGGAACAACATTTGCTAGTAGGTTGGAGGCCATTCATATTAGGTTGGAAGCCATCTCTAGGTGGAAGGCCATCGCTAATCTCTGAATATGTCTCTGTACAATTTGTTGTGTCAACCTTCCACCGACCCTGTTTCATGTATTCTCTGGGGCTCAGGCCAAACAGGCATATCTGGGTGCACCACTGGCACCGGGATATAGAGACCTGGCAGCCAGGACGCAAGGTCCGTGACGAAAACATCTTCGAACGGGGCTTGTTTGGATCAAACTGCTACCTGACTCCAAGCACCAAAAGAAGCAAGTACTAAACGAACGAGTACCACAGGGATCTGTTAGTACCACTGGACGAGCCGCTCGTACTGCTTCAAGTGCCCTTACACAAACATGTTTCATGGTTTGATGGCTTTAAACGTCCCACTTGTAGAGGAAACATGTTCCACGCACACATCCTGGGAAGGAAAAAAGTAAACACTTAGATGGTGTTGTAACTATAGTTGTCTTTTTTTTTGTATACATGCTACGTATGCGAATGCAGTAAGCAAACGCTGAAAACTCCTTGATGGATAGGTTTGAACGACTCAGCTGAACATCTGTTCGCCTCTTCACGCCCCACCTCCCTGCCTCGACCTCGGTCCTTAAGGGGAGGAACCTTGGTGCGACGTGGACCGATGGAACACTGCCGATACCCGTGGTGAGATCACAAGAGCTTGGGATGGAAGTTCAGATCAAAAAGAAGATCAAACACCCGTGTTTTCCCGTGTTAAGTGGAATATCTCATGTGTTCTCCCAAGCTACAAGTCATATCAAGTCTTTTACATTGCTCACGACTTGTGCTACTACCATCCTGCAATCGATTTCCACAGTTCTTCCCGAGTGGTGTATGTACTTAAAGATGTTTCTACATGTAGGAAATGAGCCTTCTAATGAGAATGGCTTACAACCGTTTACAACAAACTAGAGTTCTCAAACGAAGTTTTTCCAACATTCTCAATTCTCGGCTCCAAGTTGCCATCTCACCCTCGCGGTTGAACAGCTCCGCGTCCCAAATGCCACGCCTGGGGTGCCGCAACAGCAGCGACACCAAGTTGGTCATCCCCATGGGGTGCCAAGTTCAGCAAAAAGCTGTGATTTCTTATTCAACACCTAACGATTTGAAGAGAAGATAGGGTAAATCATCCTCAATACTATTTTGCGAATTTCAATAGTGCAGGATTGTATGGACGAATCATGAATCACATCATCAGCCCGAAATGCATCAGTCTACATGGACAACTGTACACACCTCGGAAATGTTGAGGGTTCTCTATGCTTTTGCTAGCAATCTTTGGTGATGCTCTGCCTTTCTCTTCTTTGACAGTATCATTACATATATTGTCCTCAAAGTAGATAAGAACAGAAAAGCTGCCAAGCAATCATTTGTGGTAGTCATCGCTCCTCTGATGGACAAATCACAGGTCTTCGAGTGCACTGGTGCAATCAGCAGGCAAAGGCCAAACAACAACACAAGTGTTGGGAACACATTAACGTCCAACTCTTGGTACCCTCAATTGTTTCGCGATCATATCTTCTACCGGACGACTTGTTCTATCTTGTTCTGCCACGCTGATGCATTGACATGCTGTTTAGCTGAGCAATCCTTCCCCGAAGGGACAACATTGGGCCGTCCCAAAAAGAAGACACGTATTTATACTGGAACTAACATGGAAGTGGATGGCACCCCCTGTTTGTAGAGGAACATGATCTTCCAAGGGACCATTGTCCAGTTCCAGGTTAGTTCCCGCGAGTGTAATTATTTTGTCAGGTTCCCGAATGAAGTCCTCGATCAGGGCTCCCGACAGCATGATCTTCTTGCCAACACCTTCAGCACAGCCAACCATGTCATATGGAGGCAAGTACCTGGAGCTGTGGCCACTTGGCACTTGACGACTTCAAGGTCCCGTGCCAACAGGGCCTTCAGAAGGAACTGGACACTAGTCATCACTAGTCCACCATACAATGACGGTGCTGGAATGTGCTGGATATTTCATTGGACTTGAGGGGCCGCGACGGTGATGGTTTCGCGTAGCGGGTAGTACTCGCTCCCGGAGAATGTCCATGAAGGACCTGATGGTCCGGATTTGGATCGTCTGCACGACACACGTTGCTGACTGAGGGCATAGAGGGGGTCCAGTGGTTTTATCTGCAATAGCAGGTGTGCCGTGTGCCATTTGATGCTCCCGCCAATTCAACACAAACAACAACACCTTCAGGACATTCAACACCACGCCATTCTGGCGATCTGTTTTGCCCGCCAAACGAAGCCGAAGCCGTCTGAGACCAGTCACCCAACCCGCGTTGAGGCGCGCCGGTTGTAGCGACCGGTGGAACCTATACCTATCCCTCATGGGTTGGGCGCCCCGTTGGCCGCCAGAGGTCCTCCGATCTCCTCGGGTCATCTTGTCACATCGGTGCATTGTTCGCATCAAAAGAACTACGACGGTCCATGTGGATGGATGGACACATATTGATATGGTTGATAGTTGATATGGTTGACATGGTTGACAGCCACATGGCAGTGTCAGCAGTGTCCTCAAATAGTCCGGAAGCGGTCAAGAAACCTGTGACCATCCACTTGTGCTGGAAGAAGGGTTGTGGCTAAGGGTACTTAAGTTGATTCAGCCCAGGGATAGGACACTCGAAGCCTTGAGATACTTGTTTGGACTTGCCCAGATGGTTTTGGGTATTTGAGGGGTGGAATTAAACCCACCCTAGTATTATCCAGTCTAAAGCAATGGTCTAGCAGTGCCCCATTCGTCGAGGTTGTGGTCTTCAAACATCGATTCATCCAACTCGTTCTCGACGTGCGACGCGTGCACCCATTCCAAGATGAACCCTGAAGAGGACGCAAAATCAAGGCACTCTGTACAATCGCACTTCAAGGCGAAGTTGTTCGATTCTCCCCCATCCGGTCGATGAACAACCATGAAACCCTGCATCTCATTCTGAACTCGTCAACAAAACGGTGGCACCCACACAGTACACTAGTAGTTGGCGAAAGCAAGTTGTACTTACTATCGATATTGTAATTCCGTGCCGCAACATGTGATGGCGACCGCTCTTTCTTGGAAAATCACAAGCCAGCTACCAATCAGATTCCGCATGTTGGCCATAGGTTCCCATATATTGGTTTGATCCAGTTCATGTCAATCAAATTGAATCCCACGAATAACACAGTTGTTTTTCAAACAAACCAACCAGCTCACAGAATCCACTTATGGCTTTTATGATTCACCTGTCGCCTTTTTGCAAAAGGAACCGTTTTGTGGGAGAACAGGATCAGTGGCCTATACATTGACATGCGTGAATTGGGGTCACGCCATTTCATTGACATGGCGGATTTCCACTGGCGAGTCGGCCAAGGACGAAAACGGAAGACTGAACAATGAAGCGGATGAAGATCCAAGAGTCCTGCATAGTCCTGCTCTCCCTGGGCTGCTGGTATCTGTTGGTCACTTGATTGGTACGACAGCTAGACACAGGTGCCATCAAATGCTAATTTTCCGTAGCTGCGATGTTCAGCTCATGATAAATCAAATTATTGGTTGTTGACAGCGCCGGCAACCCGGCCTGCTATTTCGCGACCAGCCGGCCGGCCAAGTAGTAGTAGTAGTAGTAGTAGTCGTCGTCGTCGTCGTCGTGGTGGTGGTGGTGGTAGTACTAGTAGTAGTACTACTACTACTAGTAGTAGTAGTAGTAGCAGGAGGAGTAGTAGTAGTAGTGGTAGTAGTAGTACTAGTATACTAGTACTAGTACTAGTACTAGACTAGTAGTAGTACTAGACTAGTAGTAGTACTAGTAGTAGTAGTAGTAGTAGTAGTAGTCGTAGTAGTAGTAGTAGTAGTCGTGGTGGTAGTAGTAGTAGTAGCGATTTCTTCCGCGGCCGGCCGGCCGGCTGGCACCTTGATTGGCCGGCCGGCCGGCTGGCACCTGGCGCGGCCGGCCGGCCGGCTGGCCATAGCGGCCGGCCGGCCATGTACTAGTAGTAGGAGTAGTAGTAGTAGTAGTAGTAGTAG